TTTTGATGGAAGAGGTCAAGACCTCAGAACTATTTTCAACCTTGGCAGGCAGGCTGTTATTAACTGAGTCTACCTGTAGATACTTGTAGGCAAGGAGTAATTACTTTTCCTATCCATTATTATGCAAGCATCTTTTAAAATCAATATTCTGACAAGTACAGAAAGTGTAAATGTTTACTTGAGAGTACTTAGTCCTTTAGAGAACCAAGCCCTGTCTAGATTACTCAGATTATAAAAGTTTCACTTTTGGAAGCAAATTAGGGCCAGTATTAGTCTTTCAGGAGCCCCCGGTGGCGCAGTGGGTTAAAGCACTGAGCTGCTGAGCTTGTTGATCGAAAGGTCGCAGGTTCGATTCCGGGGAGCGGCGTGAGCTTCCGCTGTCAGCCCTAGCTTCTGCCAACCTAGCAGTTCAAAAACATGCAAATGTGAGTAGATCAATAGGTACCGCTCCGGCGGGAAGGTAACAGCACTCCATGCTGTCATGCCGGCCACATGACCTTGGAGGTGTCTACGGACAACGCTGGCTCTTCGGCTTAGAAATGGAGATGAGCACCACACCCCAGAGTCAGACATGACTGGACTTAATGTCAGGGGACTACCTTTACCTTTACCTATTAGTCTTTCAACATTACTTTTAACCAGGCCTGCAGGACCTATTGCCCTCCAACGGGCATAAGCCTAGCCATCTTGTGCAATGGACAAGAATGTTGGGAGTTGAAGCCCAAATCCTCTGAAGGGCCATAGGTAGTACAAGCCTGCTTTTAACTGTTAAAATATGACTATCTTAGATTAAGGACTGGGAAGAAAGGAAGGAGCCTCTCTGGCGACGAAGCCTAGAAGAGGTCTGGGCCTGCTACGTCTCCCAGAAAGTCAGCAAGGCCTGCTGGCAGCCACTGGAGGTATTTGCCACAGCATCCTGGGACAATACGGAAAACAGGGTGTCTATTTGGTTTATTGGAGACTTGGGAAGCTTGAGCTCAAATGGAGAATATAATGCAGAACCGCATCTCTTGTGTGATATTCAACATAGTGGTTATGTTAGGTTTTTGGACAAGGGAATAATTGTTGCTGCTTCATCCACTGAAAGTCTGACTGTTTTCTGGCAGATTAAGGATGGGAAATTACTTTCAGAGTCTGCCTTAAGAGTGACATTCCAGGGGTTCACAGACCCGCAAACCAAAGAAGGAGACCAAAAGGACCCAGCTTTTAACTTTAAGTTTCATATTGCTATGATTAAACTTTTCAGCATTTCAGACATTGAAAATAGGAGAGAACCCATAAAGAATCAATGAAACAATGCAAAATGGTACCATGGGGAAGGAAGTATGGGCATTTTGGGAAGCTTCAGCGGCTGTAATTGGCCTCAAGATCAAAGTTTTCCTACCAATGTTTTAAATCATCTTTCTCCCTAACTTTTCGGTTTCATCCATTGAATCAGGTCTCATTTTGTGTATTCTGCCATTCAGGCCAATGGATGCTGGTGTTTCTGGTATTAGTGGATTGGGGAATCCATTTTTGGTTTTAACCCCAATTTGGAAGGAACTGTCCAAGGTTCTGATCATTGTGTCTGAAGTAGTTTCAGTAATTTAGCTAGCTCTTGGAATAAAATCTGGAGTGGATAGATTACCCCATTGAAGGTAGAAGTTAAGAACAATGAATGAAAGTAAGTCCAATGAATGTAGTGGCACTTATTTCCAGATAAGTAGGTGTAGTATTGTGCCCATAATGTTGGCAACATTTGCATTTATAAGGGTTTGAATTTACACACAAAGAAGGCTTAAAGTCCAAAGTCGAAAGAAACAATGAGAAACATTCCTTCCATAGAGCAAGTACAAGCAGTCCACAGGATTTTATGATTCATCAGACATGTGCCATAATCCTACTCCTGTTACATTCATAGAAACATAGAATCATAGCGTTGGAAGAGATCTCATAGGCCATCTAGTCAAACCCCCTGTCAAGAAGTAGGAAAATCATATTAAAGCACCCATGACAGATGGCCATCCAGCCTCTGTTTAAAAGCCTCCAAGGAAGGGGCCTCCACCACACTCAGGGGCAGAGAGTTCCACTGCTGAACAGCTCTCACCATTAGGAAGTTCTCTAGAATCACATAAAAGTAAGTTCCACTTAGTTGAATTATGCTTACTCACAGGTACATGAGTATAGTATTGCAGCCTTGAATTACGATCCTACACATGTTGCCTACTCAATGACTGCAATTGCACTTATTTCCAGATAAGTAGGTGTATTTCCAGATAAGTATTGTGCCCATAATGTGACAACATTTGCATTTGTAAGGGTTTGGATTTAGACATAAAGAAGGCTTTACTCCTAAAGTCAAAAGAAACAATTAGAAGCATTCTTTCCCATAGCATAGAGCAACTTTTTATTTATCGTGTCAGAACCAAATTGAGGGAACAGTTCTAATGTATTTAAAAAACACACCAAGTTTTAAAACTTGGCATTATACTAAATGTCCTTTGACCAGTAGTTGGCACTTGGAATGCCTCTGGTGTTGCTGTAAGAAGGTCTTCCATTATGCATGTGGCAGGGCTCAAGCTGCATTGTAATGGGTGGTCTGCAGTTTGCTCTTCTCCACACTTGCAGGTTGTGGACTCCACTTTGTAGTCTGATTTCTTAAGGCTGGGTCTGTATCTCGTGGTGCCAGAGTGGTCTGTTCAGCACCTTCCAAGTCACCCAGTCTTCTGTGTGCCCACGAAGGAGTCTTGCATCAGTCACAGATTGAGGTTCCGGGTTTTAGCCTGCCACTTTTGGACTTTTGGATGTTCCTGTGAGTATCTCTGTAGATCTTAGAAAACAATTTCTTGATTTAAGGTATTGGCATACTGACTGATATCCAAACAGAGAATGGGCTGGAGATGTCACATTATTGGCTGCTACTTCCCAGTGGATATCAAGTGATGCAATACTGGTTAAACAATATAATTTCTCCAGTGGTGTGGGGCATAGAAATCCTGTGATAATGCGGTATGTCTCATTAAGAGACACATCTACTGTTTTAACGTGGTGAGATGTGCTCCCCACTGGGCATGCATATTCAGCAGCTGAGTAGCAAAGCACAAGGGCAGATGTCTTCACAGTGTCTGGTTGTGAACCCCAGGTTGAGGATTTACAGATAGATCAACTACAGGATTGTATGATTATTCAAAGATGTGCCATAATCCTATTCCTGCTACATTCTTTTAGATCTTTAAAAACTTCACATGACCCCTGCATTTTATTTACTTTCACTTCAAAATAAAAATCCTGTTAAATAATATACTTTAATAATTGCAACTAGCTTTTCAAATATTTTCATGCCATGTTGATTTTTTAAAAATCTGTTAGGTTTTGAAGAATTTGAAACATATTCAATTAAAATATAGCTCACTTTCCCAAAAACTCAAATAGAACAAATAAAAAGTGTAGACAACAGACAGAATACAATATAAACAACATTTTAGCATAGTTGTCTACCAGAATCTAATCAGTGAAGTAATGAAGGTGGCCAGACCACAAAACCAGCCAGAATAAGTGCTTCTCTGAAGGCAGTTAGTGAGCTGCAGCTTTGGACTTTTGCTGTAATCTTCCTCCTTAGCTTTGCAGCCATTATGATAAAATTCTTGGTTTCAATATGAACCAATCTAGGGTGGCTGAAGTATCTAACATCAGTAGGGTGGTCAATCCACTCCAGATTTTAGCCCCAATTTTAAGAGAGCTATCTAAGGAACTAAACCTATTTCAGACATAATGTTCAGAACTGCCAGCCTCCACTGGCCTAAATGGCAGAACACACAAAATGGGACCCGATTCAAGAGATGAAACTGAAAAGTTAAGGAAGAAGATTCTTTATAACACAGGTAGGAAAACTTTGATACATTTGCTGAAGCTTCCCAAAATACCTACTTTTCCTTCCCCATGGCACCATTTTGTGTGGCTTCACTGCTGCTTCATAGAATCTTTCCTGTTTTCAATAGTTGATATGGAGAAAAACTAATTATAGCAATATGAAGGTTAAAAGTTGGGTACTCTTGGTCCCCCTCTTTGGTTTGCAGGTCTGCCAACCACTGTCACTCTTAAGCAGACATGGGCAAACCTGTGCCCTATAGGTGTTTTGGACTTCGATTCCCACCATCCCCAACAGCCTCAGGYCCTTTCCTTTCCCCCCTCAGCTGCTTAAGTGGCTGAGGGGAAAAGGAAGGGGCCTGAAGCTGTTAGGAATAATGGGAGTTGAAGTCAAAAACATCAGCGGCTGAGGGAGGAAAGGAAGGGGGCTGAGGCTGTTAGGAATGGTGGGAGTTGAAGTCAAAAACATCAGCGGCTGAGGGAGGAAAGGAAGGGGGCTTAGGCTGTTAGGAATGGTGGGAGTTGAAGTCAAAAGCATCAGTGGCTGAAGGGGGAAAGGAAGAGGCCTGAGGCTGCTAGGAATGGTGGGGGTTGAAGTCCAAAACACCAGTGGCTGAGGGGGGAAAGGAAGGGGCCTGAGCCTGTTGGGAATGATGGGAGTTGAAGTCCAAAACACCAGTGGTTGAGAGGGAAAATAAAGGGGCCTGAAACTGTTAGGAATGATGGGAATTGAAGTCCAAAACACCAGTGGCTGGGGGGGGGGAGGAAGGGGCCTGAGGCTGTTGGGAATGGTGGGACTTGAAGTCTAAAACACCAGCGGCTGGGGGGGGGGGTTGTCTGAGGCTGTTAGGAAAGGTGGGAGTTGAAGTCCAAAACACCTAGAGGTCCCAAGTTGACCCATGCCTTGTGTAAAATCACTATAGACTTGTCAGACATACCTGGATAGAGTGAATTTGGGAAGGAGATGAAGACATTTAAACTAATCTAATGGCAAAATGAAGGAAGGAGGGTGGAGTGGGCGAGTCCCCCCAGAGATGTGGGCGCTAATCTGGACGTGAAGGAGGGCGAGAGGGGCGAGAGGGGCGGGCGGAGCCTCCGGTTTCCAGGTGGCTGGATTTCAGCACCAGGGAGAGCTCCCGGGGGCGTCGCTGCGCACGCACCTTCCAGGCAGCCGCTGGAGAGAGAAAGCGAGACAGAGGCAGGAGTCATTCTCCGCCGGAGGGAAAGGCAGAGAGGAGTTGTAGCTAGCTACAGGCTGCTCAGCAGTATCTCTCCAGAGAGACATTCCCAGACTTTGGCGGAGCTACAGCTTCCCTTTCCGACCTGCTTTCTGCACCAGCTTCTGCAGCCACCTCGGAAAGCACTTGCTTGCTATCAGATTCTCCGTCATTTTCCTTGGGAACTGATCGGATACTTTTTTCCCCAGTCAGCATTGATTCTTCTCCCTCCACTCTTATGCATCCGACAGAGAAACAACTATGAAGATGAACCTCTCTGCCTTTCTTGAACTTGAAGGCTTCCTGGTGATGGACTTTTGAAGTACACCTTGGATCTCCAGCCTTAACCCCAGTCAAGGTCTCTTCGCTTTTGGAAGTGCTTCTTTTTGGCTCCAGGGAAATTTGGGGGAGACACCTAAAGGAGGCCCCTCCCTTTTTTGGTTTCTCGGTTGTTGGAGCTTTATAACAGGGGTTGTTGGGACAGGACTCTCTTCTCTGCCTGGGATGGACGCCCTCTGTGAATACAGCTACTGCTCCCTGGCAGCCAGCATAAAGGAAACAAGGATGGGAGAACTCTTGGATTCCCTTCCCAGCCTTGTGGAGGAAAGGCTGCTGGCCAATGGGACCAACGAGTCCTTGCAAGAGCTCTGGAGGAACCTGGTCAACTTGGAGAAGAGCGAAGGTGTGCAAGGGAGCGCCTCTGTGGTCCTGCGGATCTTCATCTCCATCGTCTACTCCGTGGTGTGTGCCCTGGGTCTGGTGGGCAACATCTTGGTGCTCTACTTGATGAAGAGCAAATGGAAAAAGTCCTCCATCAACCTCTTTGTGACCTGCCTGGCCCTGACTGATTTCCAGTTTGTGCTGACGCTCCCTTTCTGGGCTGTGGAGAATGCTCTGGATTACACCTGGCTCTTTGGCAATGCCATGTGCAAGATCCTCTCCTATGTCACAGCCATGAACATGTATGCCAGTGTCTTCTTCCTCACTGCCATGAGCATCGCCCGCTACCATGCTGTGGCCTCTGCCCTGAAAACCAGAAGGCAAAATGGGCTCTCGGGTGCCTGCTCTCCAGCCAAATGGCTATGCGTTCTCATATGGATCTTGGCCATTCTAGCTTCCTTGCCCACTGGTATCTTCTCCACCACTACTACAATCTTTGGTGAGGAATTCTGCCTCATCCGCATTCCTGATAGTGAAGGCAACAATACCTGGCTGGGGATCTACCAAACCCAGAAGGTGTTGCTGGGTTTTCTGTTGCCACTGGGCATCATCACTCTCTGTTATCTCTTGTTGGTGCGCTTCATCAGTGACAGGCATGTGGGTGCTAGTTCTTGTGGCCCGAGCACTAAACGCAGGACCAAAGTGACCAAATCAGTGACTATTGTGGTGCTGTCTTTCTTCCTCTGCTGGCTGCCCAACCAAGCGCTCACCACTTGGGGCATCTTCATCAAGCTCAACATCCTGCACTTCAGCCATGCTTACTTCCTGTCTCAGGCATACTTCTTCCCTATCACTGTGTGTCTGGCGCACTCCAACAGCTGCCTCAACCCCATCTTCTACTGTCTGATGCGCAGGGAGTTTCGCAAAGCCCTCAAGAAGCTGCTCTGGAGGATCACCTCACCCTCCATCACTACCATGCGCCCTTTCACGGCCACCACTAAGCCCGAGCATGAGGAACAAGTACTGCATAGTTTGATGCCTGCTAATCCAGCAAATACTTCTACTCCTTCTCCTCACCCTCCGCCAGGTGTAGCAGTAACTCTACCGGATATTGTCTCATATCCCCCTGGGGTGGTTGTGTACAGTAGCCGCTCTGATGCCTTGCCTACCAGCACCTCGGCTGAGCACCACTGTTAAGCTTCACCATGTAGGAAGGCTACAACTGGTTCCTGGCCCCAGGGTCTAAAGTAACTGGCAAGTAACTGTGCTGGAACCAAGCTTCCCCTATCTTGAAGATGTGGAAGTAGTAAAATGGCTATGGGAATGTTCCCTCCATCAGAAGGAAAACAGGAAGGGAAGAATTTGTTTAGGACTTCCCCATTAACCAGGATGGAAACAACCCATAGCATTTATGTATGGCACTAAGAAAAGTGGGGACCTATGGCACTGATGAGTCTCTAGTATGACCACACTTGTAATACTGTGTACAGTTGTAGTCACTGCTCCTCCAAAAGGATATAATAGAGTTGGAAAGAAGATGCAAGAAAAGGAAGCCAAAATGGTCAAGGGGGTGCAGGGTGTCTTCTAAGAAGAAAGGTTTGGGGATTTTTTAAGCAGGGCACTATTTATGTTTTTTATGAGGGGGTTACTATTATTGAAGAATATGGTGATTTAGCTATCTTAAGAAAGTGGGTTTTTGCTCTACTCCAGAAGAAAAAAAAAGTCTTTGAATCCTATTGGTAACTCCAACTAAAGTAGATTTGTTGAATCAGTGGAATTTCTCTAAATCTTGACTCACTATTTAACAAATCATTAAATTGGCATACAATAGTTAAGACTACTAATCAGGCAAAATAATTATTCATCCGTTCAGGGTATATGCCTGGTAGTTTTGTTGACACACCAAAATTGGTAATACAGTTGATCATCCACATTTGCAGGTTTAACATTTGCATATTTGATTATCTGCAGATTTGATTAATATGGTCTCTCTAGGAATCTCTAGGTCCTCCATTGTGATTCTATGGTCAATGTCTGCTGAAAGTTGACCATAGGGTTTTGCTGGAACACTTAAAGATTCCCATGGAAAATACTTCTCTAGGAATCTCTAGGCTCTCCAGCACAACAGTATGATTAACTTCTGGTGAAAATAGATCTTAGAGTTGCCCTAAAGGACTTAGAGATTCCAAAATAGGTGATCTCTCAAGTAAAAAAGAAAAAGTGGGGAGTGGGTTTCTTGTGTTTACTCTCTTTTACAGGGCCCTGTGTCCTTAACTCCAGTGAATGTGGAGGGTCTACTGCAGTCTTGTCCATTTCCTCATCAGTGAAGTAAGAATTAATGGGTGGATTGAACTGGAATTTTCCTCATTCTGTTGAGGCTCATATGGTTCAATTCAAGAGGAAAAAGAGAACACGTTTATTATTGACTGTGTCTGGATCACCTGTATTCTCAGATTTATGGGGGAAATATTTAATTTTACTCCATGCTTTTATATCCCATATTAGGATATGTGCTCATCCAAAGGATGGTGACCAAGATGGTAAATGGTCTGGAAACCAAGCCCTATGGGTTAGAATGCTGGGTATGTAGTTTGGAGAAGAGAAAGATTAGCAGTGACATGGCAGTAATCTCCATTTGAAGAGCTGTCATGTAAACGATGGAGCAAGTTTGTTTTCTGCAGTTCAGGGATTAGGACACTAATGAATTCAAAAAGATTCTACCTGAATATTAGGAAGAATGTCTTGACTGTAAAACCTTTACAACAATGAAATGGATTGTCTTGGAGGGTGGTGGACCTTCTTCCTTTAGAGATCTTTTATGTAGAGGTTGGAAAGCCATCTCTCTGGAATACTTCTAATGTATTTTCCTGCATGGCAGTGGATTGCCCTTGTGGTCTCTTTTGATTCTACAATTTTGTTCAAGAAAAGTGTGAAAGATCTTACTTGTAGCTGACAAATTCCATGTCATAAAATCTTTAAAGGAAGCTATTTTGGGATAAATTATATTTTTCGGATAGTACAGTAGAGTCTCACTTATCCAACATAAATGGGCTGGCAGAATGTTGGATAAGCGAACATGTTGGATAATAAAGAGGGATTAAAGAAAAGCATATTAATCATCAAATTACATTATGATTTTACAAAATAAGCACCAAAACATCATGTTTTACAGCAAATTGAGAGAAAAAGCAGTTCAATACACGGTGACGTTATGTAGTAATTATTGTATTTACGAATTTAGCACCAAAACATTACAATGTATTGAAACAGCCATGGAATCAGGCAGGAGGCAGATCATATTAGATTATACGGAATATTGAATGAGCAAAGGTTGGATTAGCGAGATTCCACTGTACCTTTAAGGTCTGGACTAAATCTAACGTGGTGGTGTCACATCACTGAGATGAAAGCCACCAGCCACTACCAAAAGGCACTGACAATGGAGGGAAGAGACAAGAGTCAGTATGTTTGTGGTGTTGCTATATTTATGTGGTAAACCCTTAAATCAATAACCTGGGAGTGTAGCTTTAGAATTCTGCTGCTCTGTATCCAAGGAGACACCTGTCTTTTCCCATCAGACTATTTAATTTACAAAGCTGAGCAGGACATGTTGGACTTCAGGTGGTAGTCAGAAAATGGTGAAATTGTCACAATCTGCCCAGGCAACTTAATCATTGGCTCTGATGTAGAGATGATTAGTTGGGATGGATCAGAACTTGAAAAGTTCCTTGTTAGGACTATAATTCCCCAATCATTACAGCTACTAGCCAGGCTTGTTGGGGATTCTGGATATTGGAGTGAATGAAGTAGGTTTTCCAAGCTGTGGGATGGATGAGAGAACAGATGGTAAGGCAGACTTTGAGAAAAGTTGTAACACATCCAGGAACTGGCATCAACAGACTTGCCTTGCCAAGCCAGGATTTTAAAATATGCCACAAGTCCTGATAAATCAGAGCAAGAATCCTTCAGATCCTCTGAAGATGCCAGCCACACATGCAGGTGAAATGTCAGGAGAAAATGTTGCTAGAACAAGACCATACAGCCCAGAAACCACACAACACTCTTCTCAAAGAGATTGCTCTGAGGGATGAAGTAGGAAATTACAGTTCCCAGAACAGCCATAGAGATTTGGGGTGTTTTAATCCACTTCCAAAAATATTGCCATGTTTCTGATTCCATGAGTAACTAGAAGGTTAGGCACTAGGCAGGTGTCTCTGGGAAGTCAACAATGCAGTAAGTTTTCCCTCTTACTGTTTGTTCCACTTCATCTGAACATGTAGATTATATTTTACTGACATGGGTATTAGTGTTGGCAGAGGTACCCTTCTCCATGGATTTTTAAATTTATCTGGATTGGTTTCTGAAAAAGCTGGTGTATCTGAATATGGATTTCTTCTACCCATTTCTCCATCATCTCTGTAAATTAATTGGACCTAAACAATATTATCTGGTGATACTTTCCTCCCCAGATTCCTGTTTCTTAAAAACCTTACTCTTACAAGGGCCTTCTGGTGGTGTGGCAGGTTAAACCACTGAGCTGTTGAACTTTCCAACCGAAAGGTTGGCGATTTGAATCCGTGGAATGGAGTGAGCTCCTGCTATTAGCCCCAGCTTCTGCCAACCTAGCAGTTCGAAAACATGCAAGTGTGAGTTGATCAATACGCACCGCTTCTGTGGGAAGGTAACGGCGCTCCATGCAGTCATGGTGGCCACATGACCTTGGCGGTATCTACAGACAACACCAGCTCTTCGGCTTAGAAATGGAGATGAGCACTACCCCCCAGTGTCGGATACAACTAGACTTAATGTCAGGAGAAACTTTTACCTTTTACTCTTACAATGTTACGCCACAATTTGCCTCCATCCAGAGAATGGTTCATCCTCTCCAACTCTGATTCACCCCTGATGCTTTATTTTCTGTGGCTCTTATTGCTGTCCTCCAAAAGGCACAGTGGCCACACAAGGGAAATGGACTTGCACCAAAGGCAGATTGCCATTATATCCAAGCATGCTACTTCTGTAAATTAGTACAAACTAAACATTCTTTAAGGCTGGATAAAAGGGATGCATCAGAGAAGAGAGTTTTGTATTACGTTTTCTGTATCAAGAGCCTGTGCTTTGTTTTTGTGGATAATTAAATCACTTTACCCAGACTAGCTCAAGCCTATTACTTACTACTTCATGAAGGACTGTGTATGCAATGCTATTTTGAAAGAACCAATCACTAAGTATCAATAGAAGAAGGTTAATTTATTCAGTGCATTTCATCTTGTTTCTGTTTTTCTCTGTGTGTACTTACATGCATATGTGATGCTCAGGAATGTTTTTTTTTACTTAATGATGCTCAGAATCCTCAATACAAGCTGGAGGATTCTGGGAAGTGTGATCCCAAAAAGTAACTTTTCTAAGCCTTGTGTACATTTTGCACAGGCCTTTGTGCACAGAATTGCCTGTTTGAAAGCCTAGTTTTTCTCAGTCTCATACATTTTGGGCATAATTTATTGGAAGGAATATCACATCATCTCCAAGCCAGTCAGTTGCTATCTGAGGGTGGTGAGGACTATGGTCCAACTTGATTTGAGGGTTGGATATCGGGGACGATGGAGACACCTTGTGCTTTTAGTCTCTGTGAATTTTGAAATGAGTCACAAAAGCCTGCAACCAGTTATTGACAAGAACATTGGCTTCATTAACTTTGGGTTCCTCTGGTTATAAGTGCACTATTCTCCAGCCAGAGCAAAGGAAGAAGGGCTTGGAGTGCCCATGAAGTTCTCGGAATAAGAAAAAAGAAGGCAAAATAGGAAGGGAGCAAAAACAGTATGTTTCCTTCCTTCCCATATATTCTCTGCTGCTCACTGCACTCATAATACATCTAGGCTAAGATAGCAATCTTGAATTTTTCATTTATCGGGAAATGGCCACTGATATTTTAAGTGAGAAAAGTACTATTTTTTCACTATTAGACATGCAGCAGTTGGGCTGAATCCTATGGACTACTCCCAATTAAAGCAAGGCACATTGAATCAACACATAGATTGAGTCCATAGTCTGCTCCAGTTGGGACTCACAGCTGGAGGGTGCACCTGCACTATACAATTAATGCAGTTTAACACCACATTAACTGTTATGGATTAATGCTGTGGAATTATGGGAGTTGCAGTTTTATATGGTCTTTAGACTTCTCTGTCACATAGTTCTGTTGTTTTGCCAAACTACATTTCTCCTGATTCAATAGCATTCAAACATGGCAATTAGGCTGGTGTCAAACTGCATTAATTCTAAAGTGTAGATATACTTAGAGTTAATTTTCATCACACGGCAAAAATGGGTTTAGTGGACATAGGCTCTATTGCTAGATTTCTGACTAGTATGCAATAAATTTTCAGGGATTTCCAGCCCCCAATTGTCTAAAAGGAACAACAAAAGCAGATGACCTATAAAGGGTTGGTCTATTGACCCATAAGTCAAAGTGAGCAACTTGTGCAAGATCAAATATCAATATTGCCTCCCCACCCCCCAGGATACCTATTACCCATATAACTTTAATGCATGCCTGTTGGTGGCATATGTCTAATAAGTGGATTTATGCCTGGCGCTGATGTATATGAGGGTTGAATTAAAAGTAATGCCTCCACCTTTTTTACTTGGGTTTGAATGGGAATATTTTAATAAATCAAATGCAGAAATAATCCTTAGAATGTGCTCTTTAACTACCACTATTCACTTTTCCACATAATCAACAATTGGATACATTTCTGCCCACGATGAACAAGTTTTCTGAAGCCATCACGGAAGAAGTCTATGCGCTTTCATTTCATGCATCAGCATCCTGGGTAGCCATTGTGCACAGATCTTCCAATAGCCAAGTGAAGCAATAATGTGACCCACACGTTCTTGTGAAATGTTGATTATGCTTGAAATTTCTCTCTGAGTGATATGACGATTGTCCTGAATCAATCTTCAACCTTTTGCTTGTGAAACTTGGTGGTTGCTGTCACAGGACATCCAACTCTTTGTCAAACTTACTTGCCCATTGATGCACAGTACTCACATCAACACACTCACCTTAAACAGCTTGCATTCTCTGATGAATCTCCTTTGGGGTGACACATTCTGCTGTCAATAATTCAATGACTGCACATTGCTTAAGTCGCATTGACTAACTGTTTGCAGGGTTCCATACTTTGCACTTTAACAACACAACTGTTAAATGCTAAGGCTTCCTGCCAAAATGGAACTGTAGAGGAGAGTCTACTAACAAGCCAGTACCTGCTGCATACCAGTACTGCCATCTGTTGAGGAGTTATGACGGTGGAGGCATTACTTTTCATTCAACCCTCGTAATTAAAGCAATGCACTACGGTGCAATGGGACTCTGATGCACATCAAGACACTCTTGCTGGCATTGCAGTACACAACTTCTCAATTCACTAATGATTGACACCTCTATTATATAGTTAAATATGCATAGACAACATATTCTATGGTAGAGGGTTTCAGCTTATGTATTTTTCAGTGTGTGTGTTACACAGCCAATGCTTGGAAGTTCATTTCTAGGTTGTTCAGTTTTCTAAGTCAAAATTTATAAAGGAGCGGGGGCATAAAAACAAACAGTAGGGGCATATGATTCATTGCTAGGACACACATCACACACAAACAAACCTTGATCTCATTCAAGACTGTGTATACCATGAGTGAACAGCCAGCCTATAAATAATTTCATAATGCCCTCAAGAATAATCAATTATGACCTCTGGCTGCAGTGGCTTCTCTCTTTCCTTGCAGTCTGTATATCCAAATTTACCACTTCTCCATTGCATCCCTCCCAGGTTCATTTAGAGATGCTCTTGCCAGTACTGCATGCACATCTTCTCAACTCGCTAACAATGTTTTTTCCCCCCTGCTGCATAGCTAAGTATGAGTAAATTTATGTAACAGACACTGTGATGAAGGATTCCAACTTATGAATTTTTCAGTGTGTGTGTTTGTTAAATGGTCAGTTACTACAAGTTGTTATTATTATTATTATTATTATTATTATTATTATTATTATTATTATTATTATCTACATTTCTATACCGCTTTTCTCACCCCTGGGGGGACTCAAAGCGGTTTACAACATAATAAATGGCAAATTCAATGCCTCACATATATATAAAAATATCACATATCTAAATCATATCATATCATATCATAGAATGCTCTAGGTGATTTACAGCTAAATTGTAAAAGATAAAATACATACAGAAATTAAAAATTAACAGAGATCGAATGCTCTAGTAAAAAGCCAGGTCTTAAGTGCTAGAGTAAAAGGTCCTAAGTCACACATGGCTCTCATGTAGGGCGGCAAGGAATTCCATAAGGCAGGGGCAGAAATAGAAAAAGCCCTGCATCTGGTCCTTTCCAAGTGCACTTCTCTAGGACCCGGTATATAGAGTAAGTCACATATATAGAGTAAGTCAATAACATATAACTGTAGATAAAAAACGTTAAAACTATAGAAACATGTTATTGCTGCAATTAACAATGTAGACAAAGTTCCTTTCTAGGTTGTTGGGTTTTCTATACCAAAATGCACTGGAGGGGGTGGGGAACACTAAAACAGGCAGAAGAGGCATGGGACTCATTGGTAACACACACACATACATCCCACTGAAACAACTCTTAATCTCACCCAAGATGGTATATTCCAGGGGTCAGCAGCCTGCCTATAAATCATTTCAAAAGGACCTCAAAAACAATCTGTTATGGACTTTGAATGTGGTGATTTGTCTCTTCCCTTGCAGACTGTACTTCAAAGTTTGACACTCCTCCCCTGCTCCCATCCCAGCCCCATTTGGAGATGTAGAGAGAGACCCCTCTGCATACAAGCCATGTACTTGACCTTATAGCCAGCCACTCTGAACAGGTGTCCTCTTCAATGGTGTTCTCAAAAAAGACGTTAATGCTCGTTTATATTCGCACCAATTTGTGGTGTGAATATAACCTGCCAGGCAGGGAAGTGACTGGAAATTATATCCTACTCATGCCATCTGTGAAATCTGCTGTGGATTCTGGGACAAATTCTCCACCATTCTGTCTTCAAACTGGATCTGTGTGTCTTCTCTTCTTTTGCATCAGAGTCTGGGAAATTTCCTTTTCTTGGGGAGGGGGGATGATAACTTACAGAATCATCCAGTTGATATAGAGAGAGAATTCTGAGGAATGTTGTTCAAACAGCTCTGCCTTTGCATTGTGTTCATCTTAAAAGCATTTGGTAAGTTATTTTCTGTCTCCCTCATTAGAGAACAGCTTGCACGTAGGAATGGGGAAATCTGTTAATTTTTGGTTTCCTTCCACATTCATTACTGTTTTAAAAACCCATTCTGACTGAAATAAGAGAAAATTGGTGCATTTTAGTAAATTCTTCCAAACAAAACTAAAGTAGCCAGCATTTCTATTTTTACCAGCCAATTAAATTGGTACAGGCATTTCCAGCACCTACTGTATGGGTGCCATGCAGCTGTTAAGGATGTAGAGTCAGAATAAAAGGGAAGGTCACGCTAAATTCAGGACTAACATTGTTCCACAAGAGCAGTTTGGCTGTTGGACTCATTTCTGGAGACTAAAGTTCACATTCCTGCTTGACAACGGAAATCCACTAGGTTACTTTGTGACAATCTCTTGGCCTCAAAGAAAGACAAGGGCAAGTCTTCTCTGAACAAACCTTGCCATGAAAACTGAAAGGATCACCTTATGGTCCCCATAAGTAGGAAATTACTTGAAGAGCAACACAGATAGACAAGAGTACAATGCACATTCTTCAAGAATTAAGCACTCAAATCCCTAGGTATATGTTTCCCTCTCTCCCATATTTAATGTTCTACAAGTAATTCCCTTCAAACTGGAAGAAAATTGCAAATTGTGATAAATTCTCAGAAACATCTATATAAATAAAAGTATAATGTTCATTTGTGGGATTAACATAACTCAAAAACCGCTGTATGAATTGCCACCAAATTTGGCCACAAGACACCTACTAACCCAAGGAGTGACCATCACTCAAAATTTGATTTTGTCATTTGAGAGTTGTAGTTGCTGGGATTTATAGTTCACCTACAATCAAAGAGCATTCTGAACTCCACCAATGATGGAATTGAACCAAACATGGCACACAGAACTCCCATGACCAACAGAAAACACTAGAAGGTTTGGTGAGCATTGACCTTGAGTTTGGGAGTTGTAGTTCACCTACATCCAGAGCACTGTGGACTCAAACAATGATGGATCTGGACCAAACTTGGCACGGATATTCCATATGGCCAAATATGAACACAGATGGAGTTTGGGGAAAATAGACCTTGACATTTGGGAGTTGTAGTTACTAGGATGTATAGTTCACCTACAATCAAAGAGCATGCTCTTTGTACTATAAATCCCAGCAACTACAATGCCCAAATGTCAAGGTCTATTTTCCCCAAACTCCACCAGCAGGCATGTAGCCGGGGGGGGGGGGCGGGGCTTCAGCCCCCCCCCCCTGAAATTCTCATGGTGGTCCGAGAGAAGGCCTTACTGGTGCATTATTTAAACTGTTATTTTATTCATATCATGATCTGATCACCATACTCAATATATCCCATATGCATGGGGGTATTGGGGTAATGATACAAAAGGTTTGCTAGGGTAGACCCTCTTTCACTCAGACTCAGCCCCCACCGAATCAAACTCAGCTCCCCCCGAAAAAAAATTCAGCCCCCCCCCCCCCCCAAAAACGAAATCCTGGCTACGGGCCTGTCCACCAGTGTTCACATTTGGGCATATTGAGTATCCATACCAAGTTTGGTCAAGATTCATCATGGTTTGATTTGATTCCACAGTGCTCTCTGGATGTAGGTGAACTACAACTTCAAAACTCAAGGTCAGTGCCCACCAAATCCTTCCAGCATTTTCTGTTGGTCATGGGAGTTCTGTGTGCCAAGTTTGGTTTAATTCCATCATTGGTGGAGTTCAGAATGCTCTTTGACTCTAGGTTAACTAGAAATCTCAGCAACTACAACTCCCAAATGACATGATCATAACCCAACCCCGCCAGTACTCAAATTTGAGCGTATTGGGCATTTGTGCTAAATATTTGATATCCTGCACATCAGATATTTACTTTACAATTCATAACAGTAGAAAAATTACAGTTATGGTTGGGAGTCACCACAACCTGAGGAACTGTATTAAGGGGTTGCGGCATTAGGAAGGTTGAGAACCACTAGTCTAATCAGTCCTGTATCTACCTAGCTTTGGTACCTTCACAGTAATTAGGCTTTAATTAGGGCTTATCTGGTTTGAAAATCTGTCTAAGCCATGAATATATTTTTTGGTCTTGACCACCAACAAGCCACTCTTTTATGATGATATTATCACATCTATGAATATCATTTCCTACTTTATTGGGTGTTTTTAAAGGTCTCAGAAATATTACTGATAGGAAATGCTAGGTGAATGCTAAATATCTGGGGAGAATCTTTTCCTAGGAGGAGCTGAAGTCACAGGGAATCTATATGATGTACAACATGAGGCAGTTTGAACCCATATCCTCTGATTTAGTCAGTTATTGGCAGATGCATTTATTTAATTCTATCATTTAGAAAAATGCAGAGGAAAGAGGGTTCATACAAAGAAACAAAATCAAATCAAAATCCTGCTGGACTGGAGTACCTTTATATTGAGGAGTGACATTTCATTTTCTTGAGCCTGCATTTTTTTCATTTGAAATGAAAATCTGTGTATTTTTAGCTACACTCTTTGTCAAAGGCATTTCTAAAGAGAGAAGGCATTGAAATGAATGTAGGACTTTCTAACAGCAGGGAGTTGTTTATAAACTGGAATAAAAGCACTTGTCAATAAGACACACTTTACATATGGCATTGGGCTTTCCGTCTGTCCTTTTTTTAAAAAAAAATCCATCCCTGTTTTGACTTTGAAGTTTGTTTAGGAACACAAGAAATGCCTTGTTAGATCATGCACAGAGAAAGCTTTCTGACAAGCTTGTATCCTGATGTAGAGAGAAAACTAAAATGAGAATGAATGAGACAGTATCTGAGGAAGTTGACTTAGGGTTCATCTCCACTGTAGAATTAATACCATTTGACACAACTTTAACTGCAATAAGGAGCTGAACTTGTTGACCAAAAGGTTGCAGGTTTGAATCCAGAGAGTGATGTGAGCTCCCGCTGTTAACCCCAGCTTCTGCCAACCTAGCAATTCGAAAACATACAAATGTGAATAGATCAATAGGTACCACTCCAGCAGGAAGGTAACGGTGTTCCATGCAGTCATGCTGGCCACATGACCTTGGAGGTGTCTACGGACAATGCCAACTCTTCACTTAGAAAAGAAGATGAGCACCACCCCCCAGAGTCAGACACAACTAGACTTAATGTCAGAGGAAAACATTCACGTTCACCCTTAACTGCCATGGCTCAATGCTATGGAATCCTGGGAATTGTAGTTTAATAAGACCACATCAGTCTTTGGTAGAGAAAGCTAAAGAACTTGCAAAATTATCAAAAAATGGCATTGAGCCATAGTTGTTAAAGTGGCATCAAATTGCATTAATTCTACAGTGCCAATGTGCCCACTTCCTCAGATTCTTGAGGTGTCTAGAAAACATTCACAACCAATGAAACCTCCAGCCCACATCTAGTTGGAAAGATGTTTAAAAAATTTACTGGAAATAGCAGGTCATGCCATAAAATGCGCTGTGGATATCACTGTATAAACAGTGCAGTGCTTCAAAGCAGAAAGAAGCATTTGGAGCACTTGTCATGGCAGGAACTGCAGACAGAATATGGATAGATAGCTTGGAGGGAAAGTAAACAAGTGCCTCCCCCAGCAAGGAAAGGGTGCGGGAATGCAGATTCCCATGAGATTGCTAAATTGCCCTCTTTTGCCTGGCTCTCCTGCAGACAAACATTGTTTTTGACAAGTGTATTTGCCAGAGGAACCAAGAAAAAATACTCTTGAGTTTAGATAGATCTGGTTCAGTGGAGGTTTGTAGACTCTGCAGGAGCTTGCAGCCAGTTCCTGGGGTGCCTGTGTAGGCACTCCGGAGTGAACTGGATATTTTTGTGTTACATCCTGAATTGGAATAAATGGCTGTGTGGAAATCACTCTGGAAGCTTATGCTACCAACCTCTTTCTCTGAGTTAGCCTTAAAGGCACTACAAGATCTATTTGTATGCAAGATTCATATCACTTCAAAAAGAAGATGACTTTTAGTCCTGCTTCTTTCCAAAGCACAGAAGGACCCCAATGATGTGGGAAAAATAGAATTTTTTTCCTGTTTCTTCTTCTCCCATAGCAAATACAATGAATAAGAATTACTGACACTACAGAAAACATCAAGGCAAATTCTTCATCATATTAATGCAGCCAGAGGATGATACTGCCTTCCTACCCATAATAAAAATCCAAGAGGTTCTCCAAAACATCAACTATTTATTGTTCCTTTCCACATAGCGAACAAAGAATGCTACAAAACAGCAGCCAAATAATGAAATAGCAGAGGCAGATATCACCACCACTACCACGCTGCCAGCTGCACTGACCAGGAAGCCCAGGCCCACTCCGACAATGATCTGGGCCAACTGTACCATGCAAGTGAGGGCGGCACAGTCTACTCCCTTTCCCCTTGTATAATCTTCAGTTTTTCCTCCATCCTGACTCTGAAAGCAAAGAGAAAAGGAAGCAAAACTCAGTCAACGAGGCAGAAGAAATTGACTACTAGACTAAGTATTATCTATTTATTTCCTTATTTATTTCTCAGCAGAGCTTGGGAACAATTACTTATTTGAACTACTACTCCTGAAATTCCTTAGCCAGTGTGATCATGGGCCACGGTGGCTAAGGAATTTTGGGAACTTCAGTCCAGAAAGGAAAACATTCAAAGCTCTGTTTATTATTCCTGACTGTGAGAGCCATTCAGCAGTGGAACTCTCTGCCCCGTGGTGTGGTGGAGGCTCCTTCTTTGGAGGCTTTTAAACAGAGACTGGATGGTCATCTGCCGTGGGTGCTTTGAATGTAATTTTCCTGCTTCTTGGCAGGAGGTTGGAATGGATGGCCCATGAGGTCTCTTCCAACTCTATGATTCTATTATTCTATTCCTTTGAGTGCTGTACAGGTCAAAACACTCTGTAAAGGAACAGCATATTTCCAGCTCTTCTAATATTTTCTCTCCAAGCATGTAGTTCCATCAAAGTGCTATGACTGTTTACACTTGCAAATGAAGCCTATATTTGCTGCTCAGTGGCCATCACAAAAAAAGCAAGTCAATTTGCAACTTGTGGAATGATGCACACTCTTTAGAAAACCCCACTTCTAATGGCATGTGGACCATAGTCCTGTCCTCGGTATTTTGTACTTGCAACCACAGACTTACCAGAAAACTACAACTGATGAACTGCCTTATTTTGCGCAACTAATAAAGTCACACTGCAGTTCTTTTTGTATGTGGCAACTTGGTGAGGAGAGAGAAAGATATTAGCAGTTTGATTAAAAGTCAGTGAAATGTGAAGAACACAGACTCAACTGTTTTGAAAGCTAAGTAACTTAGAATTTGTCTGCACAAGCCCCAAATCGCACTCACCTCAAATAGGCTGCTAGTAAGTATTGCTGGGGTCTTCAATTTAAGCTGGCTCTGCCCTACTTTTAGCAAAATCAGGTAATACTCCAAAGTTTTCTGGAAACAGACATATCCTGAAGGTTTAGGGTAGTCTGGCCAAAAGGATTTGGACTGATCCACTGTCTAGACTAGACACTGCTGCCATCAACTTTACTCTGCACTCATTGGCATAAGGAAAGTGAATTGACCATGCCTCTGTTGCTGCCGCTCATGAAGCTCTATCATGAAGCTCTATCTAGCCAGTCATGAAGCTCTATCTGTGTTTCTGATTGTTATAGAATCATAGAAATGAAAGAGACTTTGTGGACTACTATTCTGCAATGCAGGAACACACAATCAAAGCACTACCGACAGATGGCCACCCAGCCTCTATTTGAAAACCTCCAGAGAAGGAGACTCCTCCACCATCTGAATCAGCATATTCCACTGTTGAATATCTCTTGGAATCAGCAAGTTTTTCTTTGCAATTGCAAAGGTAGGCAGGGCCTGAACTGTTTAGGGCTTTGTAGGTGATAACCTACACCTTAAATTGGTACTGGAAACTTATCAGCAGCCAGTGGAACTGTTTTAACAGGGAAGTTGACATAGTAGAATGGTTGTGCTCCTGGATCATCTATACAACTGCCCCAGATTTTCTGGGGCCACTCCGCAACAGATTTACACTTGGTTAAATTGTCCAGTGATAAATGGGCCATTAGGCTGAAATTCAATGAAGGGTGAGTTGTGTGAAAGATTAAACATGTGTAATGGTTGGATTTGGCCTTTATGTTGTAGTCCTATGAACACTTATTTGGAAATAAATGCCATTTAATTCAATGAAAAAACTCCTCTAATTTCAATTCTGAGTAAACATGGATGAAATTGGACTGTTGCAACCTGATCTCATGCATATTTAGACAATAGAAAGCTCTGCTTGGGGCCGATGAGACATTTCCAATAAGTATGCATAGGTTCAGAGCCAAAGACTTGTGAAATGTTATGGTAATTTTACGTTAATTGACATTCAGTATGGTTTCTTATAATCTAGAAAGTAAAACTCTATTAATTTATTTTTAAACAAGGGGAGCTGAAGCTGAGAAACATTAGGATATTCAAGGCCAAATATCAAACTCCAGTTGAACTTAATGACAAGGAAAGAGCGCAATGCTGTTCCACAGCTGTTGATTGAGCAAGAACTCAGTTTACAGTCTCCCCACTGTGCATTGATGCAAATTATAGCCATTATCACTATAGCTTGAAATCAGTATATGCACATTTTATGCAAATATGTCTCCTCCTTTGTCTCCCCTCCTCCCTATTTAAGAGATGCAGTCCTCTTTTTGATTATGCATAAGTCTAAGACCCCAAGGCAAGACTATCCATCCATTGTATTGCACTTATTTTGCCATTAGCTTAGATGGTTTTAGGAGATGAGGCAAATTCATAGAGGTCCACCAATGGCTATAAGGCATGGTCAGAATAAGAAATGTTCCGTTTCAGAGACAATCCACCAAATAACATGAAACCATAGTATGAATGAATATTTTCCTAGAAACTGGGCTTGGAAGCTTTCTACTTGGCCTATGGAAAGTAATTGGGAAGCATTTATGTTCCATTAGTTTTATAAGCCCTGAGCCTCACTCTGCCCTTCTCCAAACTGGAAGCGAAGAGGGTGCACTTGCAGTGTAGCATTAATGCATTTTGACTTCACTTTAACTATCACAATTCAATGCTATGCAATCATGGGAGTCATAGTTTTACAAAGTCCCCATCCTTCTTTGCCTCACCAAATTACAAATCTCAGGATTCCATAGTATTGATCCATTGTGCCAAACTGCATGAATTCTGCAGTGTAGATGCACCCAGGGAGGTACAAATGCAGGTCAAGATCTTAAAAGAAACTATACTTTGTTGCAGTGATTCTCAATTTTTGGTTCTCGAGATATTTTGGACTTCCATTGTCGATAGTAAAGGTAAAAGTAAAGGTAAAGGTAAAGGTTTTCCCCTGACATTATGTCTAATCAAATCCAACTCTGGGGGGTGGGAGGTGGTGCTCATTTCCATTTCTAAGTTGAAGAACCAGCATTGTCCATAGACTACTCCAAGATAATGTGGTCGGCATGACTGCATGGAGTGCCATTACCTTCCCGCTGAAGTAGTATCTATTGATCTACTCCCATTTACATGTTTTTGGACTGCTAGGTTGGCAGAAGCTGGACCTAACAACCGAAGCTCACTCCATCCTGCGGATTCGAACCCCGACCTTCCAGTCAGCAAGTTCTGCAGCTTAGCGGATGATCCGGCTGTGCTACTGTGGCCCCCTTGGCTATGTTGGCTGAAAAATCTGAGAGTTAAAGTCCCAAAAATTAAGAAGGGTGGGAAGGCTAAGAACCTTGATGGAAAAGGGTCCATAGAATGCTTTCTTTTAGCTCATGTGAGTCAGATGTATAATGAAGTATAATGGCCAGCCTAAAGCTACTAGGCCAGCCATTATCCTAATGGCTCTACACGTGGTCATGCCAGCCACATGATCTTGGAGGTGTCTACAGACAACACCGGCTCTTCGTCTTAGAAATGGAGATGAGCACCAACCCCCAGAGTCAGACACAACTGGACTTAATATCAGGGGAAAACCTTTACCTTTACCTAAAGCTACTAGTTGGGTACTATTACTGCTACCATGATTTGCCTGGTTTGGGCTGGCTGTCATTTTGGCTAACAGACAAATCTTTATGAATGGCAGCCCAAAGAAATCCAGCATCCTTTGAGTGGGCAGATAATAAAGCACACAGAAATTTTTACCCCTCTTTGAAATTATTTTGAGTATGCTGTTTTCCTGCTCGATGGAAATGTTTCAGTCGAGGGCTCTTGACAGAAGAGCCTCCCAAACACGTTATAATCCATTCTTAACAAGGAACAAGAGTGTTTTGTGAATAATAGATTGAAAGCAGTGCAAGGTCAGTGTTTAGTGTCTCAACTGAAATACATTTTTCACAGAAGAAGAAAAGCTGTGGATGGCCTGCATCCCAGTTGTCATTGTGATGTATCTGCCGACAACTGGGGTCATTTGTTAGCTCTCTTCTTTCTGGAATTTTCCTAGAAAGCCAGAGATGAAAAGCTGTTTGGCTCATATCAGAGCTGGTAAAACCTATTCAGGAAGTATACAATGAAGCAGCAAAAGCTCGCAATCTCTTTTCTGTTATCCTATTAAATATGAATATCAGGTTCCCACCCGTAAATCTCCCAGCACTCTTAGTTATATTCAAAAATTTGCTTGAAATCTTGCATCCCTGGTATTAAACAGATATGTCTATCCCAAAGCGGCTATGGTGATATTGCATCATTTCTAAAAAATCTGACTTGCATTCAAAACATCAGTTTCTTCAAGCTATTTTATATACCGTATATACTTGAGTATAAGCCAAGTATTTCAGTACTCTACTTATTATTCTTACATTATTTTACTCTATTATTATATTTATTATTTTACTCTATTTATTATCATTATTACATCAGGTTGTTGTAGGTTTTTTGGGCTATATGGCCATGTTCTAGAAGCATTATCTCCTAACGTATCGCCTGCATCTATGAGAACTCACAACCTCTGAGGATGCCTGCCATAAATGGAGGCAAAACGTCAGGAGCAAATGATTCTAGAACATGGCCATACGGCTCAAAAACATACAACAATCCAGAAAATCAGACCTCATGGGCCATCATCCAGTCCAACCCCATTCTGTCAAGAAGCAGGAATATTGCATTCAAATCACCCCTGACAGATGGCCATCCAGCCTCTGTTTAAGCTTCCAAAGAAGGAGCCTCCACCACACTCCAGGGCAGAGAGTTCCACTGCTGAACGGCTCTCACAGTCAGGAAGTTCTTCCTCATGTTCAGATGGAATCTCCTCTCTTGTAGTTTGAAGCCATTGTTTCACGTCCTAGTCTCCAGGGAAGCAGAAAACAAGCTTGCTCCCTCCTCCCTGTGGCTTCCTCTCACATATTTATACATGGCTATCATATCCCCTCTCAGCCTTCTCTTCTTCAGGCTAAACATGCCCAGCTCCTTAAGCGCTCCTCATAGGGCTTGTTCTCCAGACCTTTTATCATTTTAGTCGCTCTCCTCTGGACACATTCCATCTTGTCAATATCTCTCTTGAATTGTGGTGCCCAGAATTGGACACAATATTCCAGGTGTGGTCTAACCAAGCGGAATAGAGGGGTAGCATGACTTCCCTAGATCTAGACACTATGCTCCTATTGATGCAGGCCAAAATCCCATTGGCTTTTTTTGCCACCACATCACATTGTTGGCTCATGTTTAACTTGTTGTCCACGAGGACTCCAAGATCTTTTTCACACGTACTGCTCTCGAGCCAGGCATCCCCCATTCTGTATCTTTGCATTTCGTTTTTCCTGCCAAAGTGGAGTATCTTGCATTTGTCACTGTTGAACTTCATTTTGTTAGTTTTGGCCCATCTCTCTAATCTGTCAAGATCGTTTTGAATCCTGCTCCTGTCCTCTGGAGTATTGGCTATCCCTCCCAATTTGGTGTTGTCTGCAAACTTGATGATCCTGCCTTCTAGCCCTTCATCTAAGTCATTAATAAAGATGTTGAACAGGACCGGGCCCAGGACGGAACCCTGCGGCACTCCGCTCGTCACTTCTTTCCAGGATGAAGAGGAAGCATTGGTGAGCACCCTCTGGGTTCGTCCATTTAACCAATTACAGATCCACCTCACCGTAGTTTTGCCTAGCCCACATTGGACTAGTTTCCTTGCCAGAAGGTCATGGGGGACCTTGTCGAAGGCCTTACTGAAATCCAGGTACGCCACATCCACGGCATTCCCGCATCTACCCAGCTTGTAACTCTATCGAAAAAAGAGATCAGATTAGTCTGGCATGACTTGTTTTTGATAAATCCATGTTGACTATTAGCAATGACCGCATTTGTTTCTAAGTGTTTGCAGACCACTTCCTTAACAATCTTTTCCAGAATCTTGCCTGGTATCGACGTGAGGCTGACTGGATGGTAGTTGTTTGGGTCATCCTTTTTTCCCTTCTTGAAGATTGGGACCACATTGGCCCTCCTCCAATCTGCTGGAACTTCTCCTGTTCTCCAAGAACTCTCAAAGATGGTTGCCAATGGTTCCGAAATGACTTCCGCTAGTTCCTTCAATACTCTTGGGTGTAGTTGATCTGGCCCTGGGGACTTGAACTCATTTAGAGCAGCCAGGTATTCCTATACGACTTGTTTCCCAATTTGGAGTTGGATGTCCTCAAATCCCTCATCCACTCCGTCTTGCTGAGGTTGAAGATGACTTTCTTTTTGTGAGAAGACCGAGGCAAAGAAGGTATTTAGTAGTTCTGCCTTTTCCCTATCCCCTGTCAGCATTGCCCCATCTTCTCCTCGAAGAGGCCCTATCGCCTCCTTGTTTTTCCTTTTTCTACTGACATAAGAAAAGAATCACTTTTTTATTGTTTTTAATGTCCCTGGCAAGCCTGAGCTCGTTTTGTGCTTTAGTTTTGCGGACCTTTCCCCTGCAGGTGTTGGCTATTTGTTTGAATTCTTCTTTGGTGATTTCTCCCTTTTTCCAGTTCTTGTGCATGTCTCTTTTGTGTCTCAGCACAGTTAGAAGTTCTTTGGACATCCATTCTGGCTTCTTTGCACTTGTCCTATTTTTTCTTTTTGTTGGCACGGTTTGCAACTGCGCCTTGAGTATTTCACTCTTGAGAAACTCCCATCCATCCGTAACTCCCTTGTCTTTTAGTATCTGTGTCCACGGAATGCTGCTCAGTGTTTCCTTCATTTTTTGGAAATCAGCTCTCCTAAAGTCCAAAATGCGGGTTTGACTTGTCTTTGTTTCGGCCTTCTTTGTACCTCAAATTGCAGGAGCACATGGTCACTTGCCCCTAAGGATCCTACCACTTCAACCGCATCGATCAGGTCCTCCGCATTTGTTAGGATGAGATCAAGAGTAGCCAATCCCCTTGTTGCCTCTTCTACCTTCTGGACCATGAAATTGTCTGCAAGGCAAGCGAGGAATTTGTTGGACCTTGTACTCTTGGCCGAGTTTGTTTTCCAGCAAATATCGGGATAGTTGAAATCGCCCATGACTACTACATCTCTTCTCTGTGCCTGTTTGGTCAACTGTTGGCAGAAGACTTCATCAAGTTCTTCCTCCTGGCTTGGAGGTCTGTAGTAGACGCCTACAACAAGATCTTTTTGAGTCCCAGTTCCCTTGATTCTTATCCAGATGCTTTCATCCATGAAAGCCTTCAACAATACATTATTACATTTATTATTTTACTCTATTATTATTATTATTGTTATTACATTTATTATTTTACTCTATTATTTCTGCTATTATTACATGTCCATTATTTTACTCTATTATTATTTTTATTACATTTATTATTTTACTCTCTTTATTATTATTGGAAGGATATATAAGAACATTGAAGAAGGTCAGAATAATGGTTGTACAGTCTTATCTTAAATTACAGTTTGATGTAAATATTGAAAAACATTTAACCTACTGATGCATCAATTAATGTAATTTATTGGTATCTATTTTTCTTCTGAAATTTAGAAGTAGCTGCTGCATTTCCCATCCTAGGCTTATACATGAGTCAATAATTTTCCCAATTTTTTGTGGCAAAATTAGGTGCTTCCGCTTATATTCACATTGGCTTATACTCAAGTATATACAGTAAATAAAATTAGCTTGTAATGGAATTAAGTATACATGTTGATAATTATTTCATCCCATTTTGAAGTTACAATAGATGTACAAAAGGAAATGACTGTGTGTAAACCCACATTTGCCACAAAATAAATGTTGCGGGGAATGCCTCACATTCGGAGTTGCATTAAGAATGCATTAACCTTTTGGGAAGTTCAGTTCAAGTGAACAACATTTCTGTTTTAGTAACATTATGTTCACAGTCAAGCTAAGGAAGGAAGTGCCATTGATTTCAAAGCAGAATTAATGATGTTTCGGTGCTTCGTTTTGGCTTGTTTTTCCACAGAATGGAAATAAATGGATTTAAGACCTATTTCACTGAAATGAAAGAAAACAAGCTAAAACTAAGCACTGAAAAAGAATCTAGAGATATACATGTGCTTGTGTGTGTGAGAGACAAATGTTACAAGAACTAATAAATTTATTGAATAATCAATGGTTCAATTTTTAAAACAACACAGTCCAACCTTATAAATAGCAATATGAGAGAAGTTCCATTTGGAACAAATCAAGGATTGAAGGAAAGTAAATGGCCAAAGGTTTTGGTAGATCTTCATTCAAACAGAGGCCAGATGTTTTTTGACTGACAACTTTCTTCAGTAGCCAATGAAGTTCTTACATTTCCCAATCATAATAAAAAATACATCATAGTTAAAATAAACAGAATTAATACATTTATCAGATATCTTTTAATGTTTCTGATATGTTAAACTCTGTCATGCATGTCTACACAGTGAAAGAGTATAACACATATATGTGTATGTGGCTATGAGAATAAAATAGGACTAGCTGGCAGTACAAAGCCATGAGTTGGGGTGAGCTCTCAACTGTCAGCCCTAGCTCCTAGCAGTTTGAAAGCATGCAATGTGAGTAGATCAATAGGTACCACCTTGGTAGGAAGGTAAAAGGGCACCCTATGCATACATGAAGACATGTCGGTAACACAATCAGAGATGTTTATGGACAACAGGCTCCTTGGCATGGAAAATGGAACAAGATAACCTCCCCGTGGCTGGAGTTGAGCATTGCCTCCAGACACCGGAAATGGGAAAAGGGGAAGCCCTTTACCTTTGTCTTTATTGTATGTCGTTGTTTCACTGTGTGTATTAAAAGACATTGAATGCTTGCCTCATAGGTGTATTGTAATCCTCCCTGAGTCCCTCCATGGAGATAAAGAGGAATATAAATAAAGTGCATTATTATTATTATTATTATTATTATTATTATTATTATTATTATTATTAGAAACACAACAAGATGAGTCCACAGCAGACACTCTGCTGGCTGTTGTATTGGATCACACATCTTCCCAAGTGTTTAGGACTGTGTGATGTATAGGCGAATAATGTGTGCAGATCCCAGTAGGCTGGCCTTTTGGAGCTGGCAGATGGTAATCTTGTCAGCACTGATTGTGTTTAAGTGCAGGCCAAGGTCTTTAGGGACTGCACCCAGTGTGCCGATCACCACTAGGACCACCTTGACTGGTTTGTGCCAGAATCTTTGCAGTTCAATCTTTGAATCCTCATATCATGTCAGCTTTTACAGCTGTTTCCCTTCAATCCTGCTGTCGCCTGGGATTATTATTATTATTATTATTATTATTATTATTATTATTATTATTATTACCTATCCCTACAAGAAGATATATATGCTCTGTTTCCTTCTCACAAATAATTTTAGGTAATTTTAATCAGCAGCAAGTAAGTGTTTTTGCATGCAAGCATATAAGAGCATAACTGGGAAAGTCCTCTGCTCACTAAATTTCCCAAAAATGCTCAGAAAATCCTACAACTTCCTGCAGCAGTATCAGGCAGTTTTTTGGAGAGCACCACATTATCTTGATTACAATTGGAAGCATCAGATATGTCTGGCTGAAGATAAGGTATGCTCAACAAATCACAATCTACAAATGATTTATGTTTTCTAAATGCTGGCTGATATATTATATACCAAGAAGCCAGTGGTCAGAAAAAATGATTGATTTGGGCTACAACTCTGGGAACTCTCAAGCAAGCAGATTGGCCACTGGGCATTATAATCCCTAAAGTAATATTTCAAAATTATTGCAACCACTATTCCTTTTAACTTACCTCCTCTTCTTTGTGATAATCAGCAATAAGGTTGAATGGGACTGTGTATAATGTGCTGGACATTACACCAAAGAGAGAGCACAGAGCCAGAGTAGAATGCACTTTGGGAAAGAGTCCAATGAACCCAGTGCCTAGTCCAAAAAGCAAGTATCCAATGAAATACAGTCCCTTTAATCCTATAAAAGGGAGCAGAGCTTTCTGCAAATCTGGTGGAAGAAGATCGGGAAAAGAGATACATTATAAAAAGATAACCATTTCATAAACTCTCAAACATTACAGTGTATTATTACAGTATAGTCTATCATGCACAGTATTACATATCAATAAGTTCCTTTCTATGAAAAGGAAACTTGTGTGCATACCATCACCATCATCACCACCACCATTTATTTATACTCCACATTCTTTCCAAAATTGGGACTCAAGGTGGCTTAAAATTTAAATTGATTATGCAATGTTTTAAATACATTCAAAAAGCCGACATTCCAAAAGTCAGATCAAGTCATTAACAATATTAAAATAATTTTAAACATTTTAGCACAAACATGATAAAAAGCAATTTTAAAAGAATGCCATTTGAAGCAAGTATCCTCTTATCATAGAATCATAGAGTTGAAAGAGATCATGTGGGACATCTAGTCCAACTCCCTGTCATGAAGGAAAAGCACAATCAAAGTACCCCCAACAGATGACCATCCAGCCTCCAAGGAAGGAGCTTCCACCACACTCTGAGGAAGTTGTTGAACAGCTCCCAGGGTCAGAAAGTTCTTTCTAATGTTCAGATGGAATCCCCTTTCTTGTAATTTGAACCCATTGCTCTGAGTCCCAGTTTCAAGGGCAGTGGAAAACAAGTCTGCTCCCTCTTCCTTATGACATCCTTTCACATATTTATACATGGTTATCATATGTCTTCTCAACTTTCTCTTTTGCAGGCTAAACATACCCAGCTCCTCATAGGGCATGGTCTCCAGGCCTTTGAACATTTTAGTCATCCTTCTCTAGATGCCTTCCAGCTTCTCAATATCTCTTTTAAATTGTTGTGCCCAGAATTGGACACAATATTTCAGGTGAGGTCTAACCAAAGCAGAATAGAGAGGCACAATGATTTCCCTCTATTTAGGCACTATACTCCTTTTGATGCAGCCCAAAATCTCATTAGCTTTTCAAGCTACTGCATCATATTGTTGGCTCATGTTTAACTTTTTGTCCACTAAGGACATTTGGGCTGTGCTGACTCACCAGCAATTGCTGGCGAAAATGAAGGTGCACATAATGGCTTAAGATGCCCCGCATGCCCTCTTAAGATGCCCCGCATGCCCTCTCCTTTCCCCATCATACGGTGGGGATGGCCCAGCTCTCTAATCTGTTGAGGACATTTTGAATTCTGATCCTGTCCTCTGCAGTATTAGATATGTGTCCTAATTTGGTGTCATCTGCAAACTTGATAAGCACTCCCTCTAAACCTTCATCAAAGTCATTAATAAAGATGTTGAACAGTACTGGGCCCAGGACTGAACCCTGTGGCACTCCATTGGTCACTTCTTTTCAAGATGAAGTGGAACCATTGGTGAGCACCCTTTGCGTTCAGTCGCTTAACCGCTTAACCTATTGCAAATCCATCTAACAGTGGTATTGTTTAGCCCACATTTTACTAGTTTGTTTGAAAGAAGATCATGGGGGACCTTGTCAAGGCCTTACTAAAATCAAGATATGCTACATCCACAGCATTCCCTGCATCTACCAAGATTGTAACTCTATCGAAAAAAAGATATTCGACTAGTTTGACATGACTTGCTTTTGAGAAATCCATGTTGACTTTTAGTGATCACAGCAATCCTTTCTAAGTGACTGCAGACAGCCTCCTTAATTATCTGATCCAGAATCTTTCCTGGTATTGGTTTCAGGCTAACTGGATGGGGATTGTTTGGGTCCTCTTCCTCAAAGCTCTGCAGTTAAGCCTATTGGGTTAAACATGTTTTTACTTGCTAACGGAAAGATCTAAAGGAGACATTATAGTTCCATTTCAAGATCTTAGATCTCTTTTACCCACCAACTTTGACATACAATTTCAATATCTGGGAGAACAATGGGACTACAAGAAGGACTTCGCTTTAGGATCTCAGAGTCTAGATAGAGTCATGGGGGGTACATTACAGATACAATGGACCTAAGCCATATAGGGCTATATAGGCCACAATTAGAACTTTAAATTATGCCAGAAAACAGATTGGTTGCCAGCACAAATGTAGTGCGGGCCAGATGCAACCTTCACTCTGGAGCCTGTGGATCAAAGATTCTCAATCACTATCATATGTAAAATGCTATCATATGTAAAATGCTATGAAGCCCTACATGGATCCATTTGCTTATTCAGATGTTCAAGTAAGAGTCCAATTTCTTGGTAGTACTCACATGAGTAAAGTGAGGAAGAAATTGCATTGATGCACATCCCCCAGCATCCAATTTCTACTCCTCTTTCATAAGTCAGATAGGCTGTGGAATTATGCGGTGCATAAGGGTCGCCGTTAAACACAATCTGCAAAGCATCATAAAAAAGAAGAAAGAATCAGCTTTCTTGATGGGCCCATGGGTCTCATTAAATGGAACAAGACTCAGAAGGCATGGAAATGTCATGCCAAGATGGAAAAGAGAGAAAACTAGGAAGGAAAAAGTCATGCCCCTGTTAGCATAATATATCACCTTTTGCATCTTGATGTCATGATGTGCAACAGTGGGTTAGAATCAAAACTCTGAAAAATTCCTTTTTTGCTTACAGCCAACAGAATCCCCCTGGCCACCATGGTAAAAGAGAGATGTAATATAAAAATGTAAATTGCCCAAGCTCTAACTGGAACATTGGAAGTTCTAATTGGAATTGGAACAGGGTTTTTCAATTTTGTGTATACATGTCTGGGATTGAAACTTGAGCCACCCAGGCACAAAGCATGAACTTTTCCACTGAGCCACAGACCCGTGTTGTGCATCACAGATCAATGCAGACATATCAATATGTCCCAGGAGGCATCTACATGGCAGGATTAATGTAGTTTGACACTGTTTTAATTGCTATGGCTTGATGCTGTTAAATCATGGAGGTTGTAGTTTTGCAAGAGCACTGCTGAAGAGTGCTGGTGCCTCACCAAACTACAAATACCAGTATCCTATAGCATTTAATCATGACAGTTAAAACAGTGTCAAACTACAATAATCCTGTGGTGTAGATGCTTCTTAATTATAATATACCATCATGAAATGAACAGAGCAAATGCATGGGCAGAAAAATCAGCTAGTTGAATAAATTTGTATACTGCGTCTTTCTTCACATAGAGCAGCCTACAAAGAGCAGTGTTTGTTCTTCAGTTGGTGTTGTGGCCTCTTGGGACTTTAATCCAAATTCAGAGAGATGTTCTCTCTTGCAAAAATGAAGAGACTTCAGGTTATCGTGATCCAATTTGTGCTTTTTTTTTTTTTGGTCCTTGAACCATAGAGATCCACTAAGTGGAACCTGGTGGAAGACATTATATATTAGAAAGAAAGAATCGTGAGCCGAGGATTTCATTCTAAGTGAATGAAGTTTGCAGTTTTTAGAAATTGAATACTGATTATCCCATGCTTTCTTCATTTCAGCAGTATAATTTGAGGAATAGGAGACCTTCTTCAACTTACAGCAACCCTATCATGGCATTTTCTGGAACTGAGAACCCAGTGGGTTTCCATGGTCAGGTGGAGAATCAAACCTTGGTCTCCAGAAATGTACTCCAATGCTCAAACCATGACACCACATTGACTCTCCCTGCAGTCTAATTACCTGCTTCTATATAAACATATTTGAATGACATCAAATAGAGAACTATTGTATGCCACCCATGTGGCTTCCAAATGGGGGTGGAATTGGTGTTTGATATGCCGATTTCACTTGCCTTTGGGCTGGTGTGAGAGGACCTCAATTAACACAGTTCAAACTGCATTTTGGCAGTATAGATCCAGTCTAAATGGAGATAAATATTTTTGGGAGTTTCTGGGAATCATAATTCATTTTATAAAAAAAACACATTATTTTGTCTTTGGGGGCATACAGTAGTTATTTTTTTTTAATTCCCACCTATCTGACAGATGGAGTTGTCATTTCTTTTTGTTCACTGAAATTTCTCACTCTTGATCTCTTGGGGCATTATAGCTCTGCATGTTGGCCACCATGTTATCAAAAATAAGTGCATGAAATCATTGCTGTCAAAAAGTTTGCATTCAAGGGAATGGCTTAGGGTGGCCATTTACAAACTGCCAAAAGGGAAGGAGCATGAAGATCAAGGGAGGGGAACAGAAGGGAATATATTTGCTAATTATAATTTGTGTGTATTATCACAAATTTAGAAACAATTCCTATCATTAGAATTTATCCATCTACATTTTATATAGACATACAATACATCTCAGCATAGAGGAAAAGAATATGACCTGATTGACCATGGGATTGCTGAGCCAATTTGTGCTAAGTGTTAATAGGCATCATCAAGGACCCTTGCTACTCCTTTCTTACTTTTCATCATTAAACTAGACTTGGATTCCATAATACATTTAATAATAGACAGCTTGAAGCAGAAGAGTGTCCTCTATAACAACCTTTCATCCTCTAGACTTCAGCTCCCAGATTTCTGATCACTTGACAAATTGGCTAGGGGTTCTGAAAGAAGAAATCTAAAATAACTGGAGGGTCAAGGATTGAGAACCACTGTGCTATAAAATAAGATGCAGCCACCCTTGACACTGTCCTTTCTTTACCTGCCCCATAAAGTCAGTGAAGAAGAGCATATTGGAAAGGAAAGCAGTCCATCCCATCAAATGGCTCACACATAAACAGCGGTAGTGGGATGGCATGGTTAGAAGTGCTTTTAGGAGAGACTTAATGGTCATCTGCTTCTGAACCTGAAATGAAGAACAAAACAAAACTAAGCAGAATGCTTTGTGTTAAAACACGCTAGAAGTATTCACAAAAGACGGTATTTTTTATCCAGTATTCGTGGTTTTTTAAAATCCACACTCAAATCAGATTAACACATTATCTTCCGGCCTAAAAAGCAAAATTAAATGTCAAGGAAAAACATACTCTTCTAACATTGGAAATGCTCAGGGATGGGCTTTGGTGATCTCCAAAACATTGAAGATGCAAAGAGGCAACTTTCTTTGATCTTCTTACATGGATAATACCTTTCAAGTTGATTCTAACCCTACTGAGTTTCCAGCAGGTGAACAAAACTATAAAATCCTTTCTGGACTTTGATGAGAAAATAAACTTTAAAAATGATTTTAAATTTTACTTAAGTTTTTTTAAATAAAAAGCTTTGTATTGTAAATCATGGCTTAGGAGATCAAAAGTGTAATGAACGAATACTTTCAATAAACATGAAATATTATTATAGGAAAAGAGGAAGGGTCCAGACTCATTCCAGTCCCAATGTATTCACTGCCACCAAGACTATGCGAGAGATTGACTCTTTTATGTAATATGTATATTTGCTATGGGCTGTATAGGATGTATGCCACAGGCCATAAATCAGGCATGGGCAAACTAAGGCCCGGGGGCCAAATGTGACCCCCTATGCACTTACCTCAGGCCCTCCTCATTTTCTCTGTCCTCTTGGTATAAGGACAGGGTGGCCCACCATGCCCAGATCGGGGGAGGAAGGCACGTAACAGTTGAGAGCCCTCTAGAGCACTCTAAGCCACCATGTGTATCCCCCTCCTCTCAGTATAGGAATGGTGTGAGTGACCCCATCCTTTTGCCAGGATTATGGCTCGAGGAAAGCACATGGTGGCTGCGTGCCCTCCGGAGCGCACTCAGCTGCTGTCTGTCTCATCCTCCTCCCAGCATAATGCTTTGAAGACAGCCTGAGGATCAGGGGAGGAGGGTGGAAAGAAGGATCAGGGCAGTTGTCGCATGTCCCGGCTTCCTCCCCACATAAGAATGGGACAAGCAGCCCCGTCCTTATGTTGGGAAGACAACCTGAGGATGACCCGGGCCCTGCCCTGTCCCTTCTGGCCCCTTTCCCAGGCCCTCCCCACCCAGCGTGTGCCCGGCCTCTCTCCCTCCTGGCCCAGCCCTCCCATCTGGACCCATAATGTGGAACCAAGGCAAAAGGTTTGCCCATGCCTGCTGTAGATGGACTAAATAAATAATGAAAGGGAACAATCGTTATTTCTTAAGAGACATAAGAATGATAAAGCTGAATGACTTGAATGAAGTTAAATGAATCAACACATCAAAGCAACATTAGAAGCAGGGTATGATTGTGCCTTTGGACAGTTGGGAAAGTTACATACATACGTTTTATTGATTAGCCCATCTGCCTTATCAAAACATTCAACAAATACATTTAGCACATACACATAGAGCATACAACCCACATTACAGTCAAAGTTAAAATAAGCAAGCTTTTAATAAGGAGTCAAGATCCTGATCCAGCTGAAATAACTGCATCACCCCTACAATTTACACCAATTGATTCCAAATATGCAGTTCTCAACAGAGTTGCTTTAAATAGAAGAGGGTCCATTTTGTATGTTATTTGATCATTCTGGCCAGCCAATTAAAATGTAGTTTTAATATAAGGATCCCAGTGTATCTTTTGTATAATGTATGGTCCGAAGTATTGCTTTCTCTCTTTCTTATACAAGTTACAGCTAAACAGTGCACGACCAATATCTTCTATCTCTGCTGCTCCACAGATACAAAAAAATGTTCATTATATGGGACTTGGTTAAGTCTTCCATGTCTGACCATGGTGTCCAGCTGTTCAAATCTAGTTCTGGTAAATACCCTCCTGAGTTGTTTAGGACAGTTGGAAAAGTGATGCAAAAAATCTCATCCCAAAAGAATTGCTTCTAATGAACTTCTCACTAGTCAAAGGGCTAAAGAAACAGAGACTGCACAGAGTGCTGTGTTTTTGGAATGACCACCGGAATGGATTATGACGACGAGATTGATTATGACCCAAACAAGACGAAGCGGATTTTTAGTTTAATTAGCTGTGTGTTAGTAAGATGTGTGTCATGTTCCTGATTTACTGTAACTGTTGTTTTTATGTTCTATGTTCTGTACACCGCCACGAGTCGCCTTCGGGCTGAGAGTGGCGGTTAACAAGTGCAAATAATAAATAATAATAAATAAATAAATAATATTAAAAGAAATAACAGTCCTTGATGAAGCTGATGCTGATAGTGAAGATACTTAACTGAACCTAATGCTCAGGGCTCACTTTCAGATTATCGGATTCAGCTGGTGGAAATCTGGACATGAAGTCAACTTGACTAGATTTTGAGTCATTGTGTTCACATTGTTCCATTACAATGCAAGTTCTCCCTGTGTTCCTAAACTGTCTGAAGTTGACATGAAAGATCAACATACAGAAGCAGCCTTACAATCCATATTGTTCATTCAGACGAGCATCCAAAATGCGAATCCCAACTCACACTAAACCCATTGGACTGGTTGAGTGAGCTTTTCAATAAGTATAGTGAAGGAATTTTCACCTGGATCTATTAGTTTTCTGTAGCTAGAGATAGATCCTGCACTATATTTTCAGTGTCATGGTCACCATGGTGCCTAGACAGCAATTTTCTCAATAATAACAACTCTGTCTTTTCCTTCCAAAAGTTGGTCATTGGTGAGCACCATGGATACAAATGTGTGTGTCCACAGGCAAATGCAATTTCACAGAACTTTTTGTCACTGAAAAATGTCTTCTATTATGTACCCAATTAAGAGATACAAAAACAATTCTGACATCATAGTGTTCCATCTAGCCCAGTACTTGATCTGTTAGTTGGTGATGTAGTAATGGACAGATCATAGCACACTTTTTGCACAATCCCTTTTCTTGTTTTGACAGCCCACCTTGGGTCAAATCATGAGTCTGATGATTTCTAGGTACATCAGCTTAAAATCCAATTTTATGCAGGTGGATCTCACTTGAAGTTTTTGGCTGGAGTTTATCTAATTCTTGGATGGTTCACAGATGGTAGCATATTCAGATTTTGATGCAAAAGGATGTGATCAGTTTCTTTAGGAACCAACCTGTACAATAACATTTCATCAATTTAGGGCTTATCTCCATAGGCTGCTTAATCTACAGCCAGTTTGGAACAGTAATGCTCTGGGCTGTCCCTGGAGCCTGTCATTTACTGTGTCTCCAACCATAATGGCAGGAGAGTGGAGTCTGCATGGTCCAGCTGTGCCAAGAATGGTTCAGCCAATTGGAATGTCATCTTACTTTCCTGTCACCATTGCTGGTACAGAGTTCTGGGAGAGCTCCTGGCCATCGGGGGCTCTCTGTGTTGACAACAGCAGAGACACCAATGTGACCAGGGAGAAAGATGAGACATATGCAGTTATGGTGGCAACAAGGACCAGATTTGTCCTCTTTCCCCTGTGCTGATGAGCTCCAGGAAAAGGGGATAATGGTGGTGCCTGGGTGGACAGCACCCTGGCTCACATGGAACCCAGTTGTACTATCCACACGGTGCCCAAACTGTGGCAATGTTCTAGAGTTTCAGCTAAACCCCAAAGCATGCCCAACTTTCCTTAATGTGGGGCTCAACTGGGTTAACCTTGTTTATCACAGGATAACAGATAAAGACCAGAAAGACCCTGGACTTCATGAAGACAACCAGGAGTAACTTCATGATGAGCCTATGTAGATTAAGGTTCCTTCATGTGGAACATGAACTTTATATGATAGTGGACTCACAAACCTTGATTATAAGAGAGATGCCTTCTATGAGTATGTTTGTTTGTAATACCTTGATCATATTCCTTTGGATTCTGCTTCAAGAATAATTTGTCTTTCCCATGTAAGGAAGATTTTGTGTTAAGAGACTTGTATTTTGAACCATTGTGTAGTATATTTTGAACTTCAACAAGCTTTGTTTGTACATTGAATGCTCTATGACTATAGCATATATATGAAAAACATTCTTATTGGCTTATATGTTATTGTTCATAGTGGTCTCTTGCCCGTGCACTTTGGGTAATCCTTTCTCTGTATTCCTATGTAGATGAACCCATAGACTCCAGTTGAATCTATGTAGGTTGACATGCAATCACCCCTTTTTCTAAGGAAATCTCTATGGATCAGATTACAGATACTTCATTCTTTGCTATGCTATTTAATCCATTCCGAGGTTCTTTGACATGAGGGCAAGAATGATGTGAAACCTATATTATAATGCAAAGAACATCTCGTGGGTTGTCTGAGTCCTTTTAATTAAATGTGTTGACTTGATCTTGGCTGAGAGACCATTTGAACATAGCACTACTTTGCCAAGTACATTTTTGGCTTAATTTCAAGACATGAAATCAGAACAAAATTAATCAAAACCAGTGAACTCAAGACAGCTGGACAGGGGCACACATACGGCTTGCTCTCTGGGATCAATGCCCATAGCTTGTATTTCAGAATGAAAAGTGAACGGTTTTTATTACGAAGGGAGTTTCAGTTTTCAGGTGGAAAGATGTTTTCATGCAGCATTGTAGATTATGAACTAATTAAGCAATTGGCCTAAGATATTTCATGAAGTGTTCTGGTAGAGGAATGGAGAGAAAGAAAATTCAAAGTGTTGGTTAAGATTTATAAAACCCTATACAGTTTATGTCTATATTTTCTAAATATTGAAAATCCCCCTTGATGGATTGTTATCTTGTCATGTTGAAGGGATTTGCGTGTTCCAATGAACCTGTGAGTGTAACCATCAGAGTCATGTCTTCCCAGGAGGGGCCAGAGGGGAGGATCCAGACCAAGAACAATCTGAAAATGGCAGAACAGACTGCCAACAACATGGTGCCTGTTGCAATGGCTGTGAAGTTGGAAGAAGGCTGCAACAGATGAGAAGCCACTGTCGTCATGTTAACTGTGCCACTGGATGGGACC